GGGCAAGATGAGCAGAGGTAAGGAGAGAATGAGATGGACAGAAAAAGGGTGAGACGGGCAGGGTACAGTGAGACTGGCAGGGGTAGAGCCCTGATGGACGGAGGTGGGGCAAGATGGACAGGCTGGGTTGAGACAGGCAGAAATAGAGCAAGATGGGTGGGGGCGGGGTGAGATACCTCCTTGTGCTGAAAACCTGTTACAACAGCCTCTTGACATGGGCTGCCACTGACTAGTTGGCATATTCTCTTCCAGATTCCCCCAAAATACACGATGTTCTAACCTGGGAAGGTGCTTTTTTAGTGCCTTCCTCATATGGAGGAGAAAAGGAGTAACCTACATATTCTTTTTTTTTTTGGACAGGATGGGTTAAGACAGGCAGGCAGTTGAAGTCTAACTCTGTCACCCAGACTGGAGTGCAGTGGCCGCTCCCGGTCACCCCAGCCTTGACCTGCTGGGCTCCAGCGATCCTTCCGCTTCAGCCTTCCAAGTAGCTGGAACTATAGGCACGTGCTGCCACGCTCGGCTAATTTTTGATTTATTGTAGAGATGAGGTCTCGCCAAGTTGCCCAGGCAGGTCTCAAACCCATGGGCTCAGGCAACCCACTCACCTCAGCCTCCCAAAGCGCTGAGATTACAGGTTGAGCCACCGAGCCCAGCCAACATATTCAATTTTTTTTTTTTTTTTGAGTTGGAGTCTCACTCTGTCGCCCAGACTGGAGTGCAGTGGCCGCTCCCGGCCACCACAGCCTCGACCTGCTGGGCTCCGGCGATCCTTCCGCCTCAGCCTTCCAAGTAGCTGGAACTACAGGCACGTGCTACCATGCCCAGCTAATTTTTTTTTTTAAATTTATTGTAGAGATGAGGTCTCGCCAAGTTGCCTGAGCAGGTCTTGAACCCACGAGTTCAGGCAATCCACTCACCTTAGCCTCTCAAGGCGTGAGATTACAGGCTGAGCCACCGAGCCCAGTTCAACATATTCTTATAATAGTTACCCTTGCCATAGAAAATGCTACCATTGAACAAAATCTAAGAAAGTGTTGCCTGAGCCCACGGGTTCAAGACCCGCCTGGGCAACTTGGCAAGACCTCATCTCTACAATAAATCAAAAAATTAGCCGGGTGTGGT